TTGTTATGTGAAAGGAAGCACTTGCTCCTCTACCGTTAACTTAGTTGATCTTTTGGACTCTATAGTCCTTAGGTTTAGCTTCCGTTTTTGTATTAGGGACGCATTTCCCTTTTGAACGCTCTTTTAATCGATGATTACTTATAAAAATAAAATAAAATTCGTTATTTTGTGACATTTGTGGATGATCATTCTCGTATGACTTAGTTGTTTTTAATGCAACTCCGAATTATTTTTCATATTTCAAACATTTCGCAAAGAAATCAAAACTCAATTTCAATGTTCCATTAAAATTTTGCGTTCTGATAGTGCTAAAGAATATGCCTCTGATCCATTTGATAGTTATTTTCACGCTAAAGGCATTATTCATCAAACCTCACGTACTTATACCCCACAACAGAATGGGGTGGCTGAGCATAAAAATCGTCATCTCTTGGGAGTGGCTCGTGCTCTTTTGTTTCATATGCATGTCCCTAAACAATTTTGGAGTGATGTTGTCCTTACCAGCTGTTATCTAATTAACCGTATGTCATCCTCCGTGTTGAGTGGAAAATCTCCTCATTCTGTCATCTTTCCTGATTCCACCGTGTTCCCTCTTACTCCTTGCGTCTTTAGGTGTGTATGTTATGTCCATAACCTCAGACCAGGCTTCGACAAACTTGACCCTTGTGCCACTAAATGTGTGTTTTTTGTATATTCTCGCACTCAGAAGGGTTATTAGTACTATCATACCCTTAGGAAAAATTTCACTAGTGCTGACGTCTCTTTTTGCGAGTCTGTTCCATATTTTCAGATTGCAGTTCTCCTATTGATATTACTCCAGAGTCATCTTTGTCACCTGTTCCTCTTCCCTCACTGTCTCCTAGCCTTTCTCCTCCCCAATCTGCTGCTCCTTCACAGGTTTACACTCGCAGGCCCAAGCCGCCTACCATGCTTCACCCGCCTTCTTTGGATTCTATGGATCCGGCCCCGTTTACTGTATCCGACTCATTACCCATTGCTCTACATAAGGGTACTCGGTCATGTGTCACTCATCATCACATTACTAACTATGTGTCATATAATTCTGTCACCCTCTTTCTCCTGTTGTTCATCCCAGTTGTCTGCTATTCTTGTTCCAAAAACTGTGCAGGATGCTCTTTCTGATCCGGGTTGGAGGAAAGCAATGGAAGATGAAATGGATGCCATTCATCGTAATAAGACATGGGAGCTTGTTCCCTTGCCTTCTGGTACCAAACCCTTTGGTTGTAAGTGGGTCTATACTATCAAATACCTTCCTAATGGTTCCATTGAGCGTTTGAAGGCTCACCTTGTTGCAAAGGGATACACACAAACTTATAGTGTTAATTCTGATGAGACTTTTTCTCCTGTTGCCAAAATTCGTCTATTCAAGTTCTCATTTCTATTGATGCTAATTGTAACTGGCCTTTGTTTCAGTTGGATGTTAAGAACGTTTTCTTACATGGTGACTTAGTTGAAGAGGTTTTCATGGAGCAACCACCAGGGTTTGTTGCTCAGGGGGAGTAACGACACAGTGTTTGTTGCTTAAAGAAGGCCCTTTATGGTTTGAAACAATCTCCGAGAGCTTGGTTTGGTAAATTTTCTAAGGCTGCATTAGAGTTTGGTCTTCACAGATGCCAGACAGATCATTCAGTATTTCATCAACATACTAGAGTAGGTTTCATTTTCCTTGTAGTGTATGTGGATGACATTGTTATCACATGTGATGATTATGCGAGCATTGCTAGGAGTTTCTACAACATCAGTTTCATACTAAAGACTTAGGCAAACTCAGATATTTTTTGGGCATTGAGATTGCTAGATCAAAGAAAGGTATCAGCTTGTCTCAAAGAAAGTATGTGTTGGACTTGTTAGAAGAAACAGGTTTGTTAGGTGGCCGTCTAGTCGATGTTCCTATGGATCGAAACACAAAACTTCTAATTGATGAAGGTGATTTATTTGATGACCTTGGCAGATACCAGTGTTTTTAAAAGCGCTCCTGGGCACGCGCTAGGCGCCTACAGGTGCAGCAGTTGCACCTCATGATAGCCCAGGAAAAGCGACCTGCACGAGGCGTGCGCCTGGGCTGTGCCTTGGGGCTTTTGTGAAGCACACCTCATAATAGGCGCGCACCTTGGGGCTTTTGTGAAGCGCGCCTCATATATTATGAGGTGCTGCTTCCTTTTAGATATGTTATGTGTTTGCCTTTACAGTTTATATTATTATATATTAGTATATACTTACAGGCTTTGGAAACTAAAAGGGCTTTTGGAAAGTAAAAGTAAAAAATGGTAATCAATAGTCAACAAATCAATAGTTTGTTCTTTCTTTCTTTCTTTTCTTCATCTACTTCTTATCTCTTTTTCTTTTTCTTTTTTTCTTTTTTTTCTTTTAATCTCTGTTTGATGTCCCTCCGACTTTTTCCTCCTCTGATCTCTATCTCTCTTGTTTTTTTTTCTCCCTTCTTCTTTGAAGGCTGTCTTATGGTTAACATTCCTTCTGAGTTGTTTGCTGAATTTTTTTTTCTCCCTTCTTCTTTGAAGGCTGTCTGTCTCTGTTTTTTTTTTTTTGTTGTTGTATTCTGTTTTTTCTTCTTTTGAATGCAATTTACTGAATTTTGCTGCATGCTGTTTGCTGGATTTTGCTAGATTATTTAAATTTTGAATGCATCTTTCTGAATGTTGTTTGCTGAATAGCTAGATTATTTAAATTTTGCTGCATACTCTTTCAAATCTTTCTTATGAATTTAAATATCTTCCATTTGCTGTTTTTCTTAGAGGAGCTTTATTAGTTTAATTGTTCTATTTTACTGGTTGCTTTATTGGTTTAATTGTGATATATTTAGTGTTTTTATTACTGGATGTTCATTGTTTAATTGTGTTATTTTTGCTGAGAATTATTGTTTTAAAATTTTACTTGTGCGCCTCACATCACTCAGGCGAACGCCTCGCGCCTAGGCTCCAAGAGACCTCTAGCGCCTCGGTGCGCCTTAGGATTTTAATAAAACTGACAGATACCAAAGGTTGGTTCGCAAACTAATTTATCTCACCATTACTCGGCCCGATATCTCATATACAGTTAGTGTAGTGAGTCGGTTCGTAGAACCTCCTAGAGTGCCGCATTGGAATGTTGTTGTTCGGATTATTCGTTATCTTAAACAAGCTTCGGGGCTCGGGTTGTTGCATAAATCCAATGGGCACCTTAAGGTGGAAGGTTTTACAAATGCTGACTGGGCTGGTTCGCCCGCAGATAGAAGACCACTACAGGATATTGTGCCCTCTTAGGAGTAAATTAGTTCCATGGAAGAGTAAGAAGCAAACAATGGTAGCACAGTCTAGTGCAGAAGCCAAGTATAGGGCAATGGCTCATACATCTAGTAAGCACGGTTCAGGAGTTCAAACCCCTTCTCCGTTGTTTTGTGCTAATCGAGCAACTATTCATATTGCCTCTAATCTAGTGTTCCACGAGAGGACTAAGCATATTGAAGTTGATTGTCATTTTATTCGAGACAAAATATTGAGTGGAAACATCTCTACTCCATTCGTAAAGTCTGAAGATCAATTGGCTGATATGTTCACTAATGCTCTCGATCATAACCGATTGAATGTTATATGTTCCAAGCTGGGATTATATGATATATATTCTCCAGCTTGAGGGGGAGTGTTGGAATAGTCATATTAGAACACACATGTAATTAGTTTACCCCATAGGGGTAATTTAGTCTTTGTATTGTCTATTTACCCTTGTACACAACTATATATAAGAAGAAAGAATGAGATAGAGTGGGCGGCTCTCTAATACAGTTTTTTTCTAAGTTCTCCATCTTCTTCTCTCCTTCAGAAACCCTAATCACAACAGTAATCAACGTCATACGAATTTAATTCAACACATTGATGCACTCACTAAAAATTAAGGTTCATGCATACGTTTTTAGGGTTTCTAATTGTTACTTGATTTTATTTTAATTCGATTCCCTAAATCTTTTAAATTATGCATTAAAAAAGTTTTGGAAACTTCGTGCATTGAATTTTTTCTAAGTATTGGACTGCAGTAGACTACGATCTATCAAGGGATCAATCGAGAGCTTCTGGAGTATTGTCGACTGATCGAGAGCTTCTTCGATGGAGCTATTCGAAAAATTAGTTTCCAATTTGGTTTTAAACTCTACATATGCTATTCTCTGTATTTTGGGACTTCTAGAGTGCATATTAGTTATCTTTCTTCATTCATTATTCTAGTATTGGTGAGCATAAATTCATGCGTTGACAATAGTTGGTTGTGCATTTCAACGATGAGTTCAACACAACTGTTCATCCATTATCAGAGATTTAAGCCCAGATAACTAGCGGATGAGAGTGAAATCACAAGAAAAGCAAATTCGTGAGGAGCGGATGCTTTTTACGAGCAGAAGGACTGCCAAAGACTTTCAAGGGAAAGTTTGGAATCTTTTATGTCATGAGGTAACTAGGGGAGTCTTGGGGTAGAGTCTGTTAACCTAGATTGTACTTTTTCTCACAAAGTGAATTTCAGTTTGCCTGGACTAGATTCTGTGGTTTTTCCCTTTGGGGTTTCCACATGAAAAGCTGGTGTCCATTGCTTTATTATTTATCTGTTTATAACTGCTATGGATTGATGATTTTTATTATCTGCTATGTTTTGAATTTGAATTTCTATTAAGTTAATATTAAATTCAGAAATCTGCTAAATTCGGTAATTAGTTCCACAAGACCTAATCAGTCCTCAACCCCTCTAGGTCTAGAGATCACAGACCTTGCGCAACTCTCCATCAGAGCCTCGTGTTCCGAACCTTACCACATCAAGAGCAATAAAATTGACAATCAACTTAAACATCATGACATCTCCCTTTAATCATAGTGAGAGCGAGATGACAGAAATTGAAACTGATCAAACAACCTCAATGCAACATTCTTGTGAACAGATAAACAAGTAACAACTAACAAACAATTGGTTATTTTATCAATTCAAGGCATACTAGAAATTACCTTCTCTGCTGGAATATAAATCCTGGTCATCTGGACTCAGATCCATATCAAGTATCTGCAAGAAGACGTCAAAAAACAGCGAAAGTTATGACAAAGAAAGCAAAGAGAGATAGAGAAGTCACCATTGAACTGACAGTGAAATAATTTGAAATTTTTACCATTGCTTCAACATCCGAAAAATAAGGTACGCCATCATCACATTCAGATGGAAGTTCTTCCTGCTCTGACGGTGATATGTTTACCACCGGTTCTGGAATATTCATTTCTGCAGAGCTCATTTCTGCATGGAAAGCTTGATGATTTTGAAGTGTAGCAGGAGCTTCTACTTCCGGTTTACTGCAGCTAACATTTATCTGAGGATAGTTTACAAGGCTATTGAGAGGTGCAGAAACGATGGCATGAACTGGTTTATCCAGATAAGAATCAGCTGAGTTGTAAGTCAGGTGCTTCGCCTGTTCGATTTCCATAGTCTCACCTTTCACTGTTGCAGGTAAGAGAGTATTTGTACATGCAGTTTCTAAACTGATTTGATTTGGACCTTCAGAAGCAGTACTTGGTCTCTTGAATGCAATATGTGGACAGTCACTGTTAGGCAACTCAAATTTAACCCCAAGATCACCAACTGAATGATTTTGTCCCATTTCTGGTAGCAAGTGTGAACCTAGCATCTGGGAAGATAAATGAGATGGTTCAGGGTTCTTTCCTTCTCTCTTAATCAGGCTTTGACTTCCAGCATTAGAATTCCGATTAGCCGATAAATTCCTAATGAGTGAGGAAGTTGGTTTATTAACTTCATGAAATTTCAGTTCTGTCATAGAGGATGTTGATGGCATATGGATGGGTAGAAAAACATCATCATTGCAAGGAATTTCCATGTCTTCGGTGTTTAACGTGCAGCAAATAACTCCATTGCACAGTTCTGGAAACTGACGGTGTACAGCTGATGCAGATGGTAACATATGGCCCTCTGAACTGCAAACTGCATGTCCATCAACATAATGAGACAGCGCACTCTCATCTGATTCTCCAGAACATGCACCACCAGAAATAGAAAAAAAATCATCTGGAGCAGCCACGGATGCTTTGGTTTCCAACATATTTGTCGTGTCATTGGCGTTGGGAGAATCCAACAAAATTGAGCTCAAATTATCAATGTAAGACTTGTCAATTCCATCTTTTCCATCATCATCCATAAAAAGCTCTTCCCCATCAGAGTTCAAAAGATTATAGGACAACTCTGTGAAATAATCATCTGAACTAGGTTTTGCGTTTTTCATGTTATCACATTGCATTTGGATTTCCAGCTTGGAATCTGAGTGCACATCATATCCTGAAGTAGATGTGTTAATCGCATCATGATTATCAGGAAATGAAAATGCATTTCCTTCCTGCTGTTTGTTCTCATTAAGGGGAACATCAGGCATGGTTGGTGCAGAAATGCCCTCAAATGCACTCCAAATTGGCATCTGGGCCTGAGGAGACGAGTACCCCAAATTGTGATATGATGCATCACAATCTGTAATTGGAGAATTGAAGACGGGGTTTCCTCCAAATCCAGGGCACATATTACCATTATTTTGATTATATATAGCTGAAGGTGTTGCCTCTAAATCATCAGCTTCAAATATATCACAGACTTGCAATTCTTTTGATTGAACAAACTCCTCGACACCAGAACAACTCCCAGGGAGAGGATAATTCTCTTCAAAATTATGAGGAATTTGTTCATGCATGCTAATTTGGTCAACAGGGAAATCAACAACTGGATCCTGGTATCCCGTACAAAATGCGTGGGCAGTGGCATCATCGCTAGCGCCAGCAGCACTATTCATTGCAAAGTGTGGAAAGGCATGCGAAATAATGCCAAAGTTCGAGTCCTGAACTCCAAAATGATTTGAAATGGGATCATTAAGCATAACATTTGCAGGAGGAAGCTCATCTCCATTCCCAATGCAATTACCATTACCTGGTGCAGTGAGAAAACTCAAATTTGTAGACTCAAATGGCTCGTTGCAAATTCTTTTACGCAATGCATAGTAACATTTACGTACACTTCCAGCTTTTCTCTTTCCTGAAACACATTTTTCTTTTGAAATTTCAAATCTATTAGTTTTTGATAGAAGATTTGAAGTAGAACGCTCAAACTCAATCATACGAGCAGATGCCTCTGCAGAAACAACTGGATCATAGAGGAGAGAATGCCAGCGATTTTGTAGTTCTTGAACAGTAAATCTTCGAGAAAACTGCACTGCACCTTTAGCAAGTGATTCCAAGGAAGCACCAGCCTGAAACAAAAGAGAATATATAAATTCAAATAAGAATTCCCACTACCTCTATGAAATTATAGGCCACAAGAAAACACTATTACTTTCAGTAATACACAAGTTCAAAGCAGTGTTTCAAATGAATTGACTGTACTACCAACTAGCTGGAACATTTAAACATTTTCCAAGTACATAAAAAACTGTTGGTAGGAAATTGTACCAGCTGGGAAACAAAGAAAAGAAATAAATCCAAACGATCGTACATCAACAAACCTATCAACTTGCATTTTTGCATAAAGTGGCTACTCTCAGGATTCCGTAAATACCATTGGCAAATCTATTCTCCTAAAAATATTTAAGATGTTCCTGAAATTTCCTTAACATCAATAGACTATGAGAAATTTAATTCTTCCTATTATTGTGAGGCACAACCGAGCAAGAAAAAACCTTATTTTCATGTCCAACCAACCAAAGTATTAATGAGAGAAGCTAGTAACTCGGTTTGATAATAACACATATAGCCAATTTAGTACCACTTGTATGCGTGAAAATTTAGTATCCATATACCAGTAATAACGCACATTCTTTTAGAGGTATACCAATAATCTGAACATTTCATTTGGAATTGAGAAGTCTATTTGACCGAACACTAGGCTCTGATTAGAGTAGCGCAAGGCCCTTGATCTAAACCTAGAGAAGGTTGAATGGGTGGGTCTTAAATTGAACTCTATTTATTCTTAACTATAACAGATTTTTAAAATATAACTAATTAACTGGAACTTAAAAATCAAACCAACCATCAAGCAAATAACTCAATAAATCCATAATGTAAATCATGCATGTGATATTATAAAATAATAAAAGTAAAGCAATCCTACACCAGAATACAAGAACTTTTACATGGAAAAACCCAAATGGGAAAAACCACAGGACCTAACCATGCAAATCAAAATCAACTACATAAAAAACAAGTTACAAATTACAAGACTCTATCCCAAGAATCTAGCGCCTCCCGACTTAGAATTATGCTAGATCAACTCTATATCTTCCAGCTGCTGATTCGTCAACAAATCCACTCCTCACGCGATCCACTTCTTTGTACATTTCTGATCTCCTTACTAGCAACATCCACCTTTTTGTGTAGGAGACGCAGCAATCAATAGTTCAACAACCGAGACAGATATATAAAAATATATCTATATACATATATATGTGTGTGTGTGTGTGTGTGTTGTAGGTAATAATTAACATATTTTTTTACCATATTTAAATTTTTAAAAGCAAGACAAAAAGGTTCATTCAAGCCAGCTTTAATAACCATAAATAGGTAACCATAAAAAAGGAATTTTTTTAAAAAATTTGAGGGGGCCAACTTTAATTTCTCTATACAAAATCACCATTAATAGCCATAAATAAGTAGCATTAATAGCATTTTGAGAAAGAAAAAAAAAAAAAAAAAAAATTGTTGGGGGGGAAATTGCACCCCCTCCCACCCACCCACCGCTGCTCATTATCAAACTACTTTGACAATAGGCCAGCAGGTTTTGAATAATTCCCCGATTAACCTGTCTGCTACCTTTGATTTGGATTTTGATTTGTTTTTCTTTCTGGAAACGCTTTTAATGAATATAAAATAACCATTTAGGTGGATCAAAAATGAAAATCCTGGAACCCTAATTGCCATATGTGTAAACCTTAACTGGTCAATCTCCCAATTCAAGCTGCAATTAACCCTTTTTTTTTTTTTGATAAATTCAAGCTGCAATTAACTTTTTGTCCTCGAAAATTTGTAAAATTCCTGATTTTCTCTTGGACAAGGTACCGCAACCAACGTAACTAACTAGACACTCTAACATAAGCATCATTACAGAATCTAAATTTTGATCACAAATTCATCAACCAATCCTATAACCTATCAAGAATAGTTGGGTCTATGAGTGACATTGGCAGGAAAGAAACAGGAAATTAATAAATATCTAATCATAAAACTTTGGCTTTAAACCCATATCAGCACTTAATGAGCTGCTAAGTGTAGGGAGTCAGTGATTGACTCAAGGTTTGACTCATGCCATGAAGACCGAAACATGCCTCGGGGCAATGTACTCCCAACTCAACCTCTCTCTCACTCTGGTTAATAACTTCAATATAGTGAATTGAATGATGAAGTGATAAGTGTGGTTTCTAGCAATACTGAAGCTCCATTGGGATCTCCAATACCCTCCAACGCATACACTACATACCAAGGGGTTCCTCTCTATAGATAAACCTCCATGATTCAAAGGAGTTCCTCTTAAAGATAAACCTCAATGACTCTTAAGAGTTTCTCACTACAGAAAAACCTCGAAGACTCCGAAAAGTTTCTCTATACAGATAAAACTCGAGGATGACGTGAAGAACCTCGAGGAGCTCCTCTCTACCGATAAACTTGAATGCTGACTTGAGGAGCTCCTCTACGGATAAACCTCCAGGTGCTCCTCTTAGCGGATAAACCTCCAAGTGCTCCTCTTAGTGGATAAACCTTGAGGATGACTTGAAAACCTTTGAAGAACTCCTCTCTACAGATAAACCTCAAGGATGACTTAAAGATCATTGAAGAACACCTCTCTACGGATAAACCTCGAGGATGACTTGAAGACCCTCGAGAAGCTCCTCTCAAGGATCTCCTCTCTACTGATATAACTCGAAGATGACTTGAAGACCCAACGCCTCTCTATGGATAAACCTCGATGCATCAAAGGAAGACTGAGGAGCGCTGCCTTGAAGGACTGCAGAGCAACAGCCTCGCGATGGAACCCGAAGGAGTATGAGTATTGGCTTTGTTGAGATTAAAACTTAGCGTTGGCAAATTTCATAACAAAAGCTGGAGTCTGTACTTTTATTTTAGCTTTTGATTAGGTTGTCAAAAATTAGTTGTAGATACTTTGTAGTGGTACTTATGTCCAAGAACAGAATTGGAACTTGAAGTTACATCAAAGGACAAAAAGGTAAAATCACCTCTTGAATAACTAACTCATCATTTAGGATTTCATAATCAAGCATTCTTTATCATGATCCATCTTAAGAAACAATGCATACATGTTTTGATTAATGAAAAAGATGTTCTGAATGCATAAAATTATACTTGGTGAAGATTTCATGCTCTGAAAATTGATATTTGTGCCTTTAAGAATTCATCAAAACAAAATGTAGCCCAAGTATTGACCCTAGAGGGGAATGAATTGGGTCTAATGGCAAACAATGGTAGCTTTTTCGATTTATTTTTATTGAATGAAAGTGATATCAAGATGTGTCTATCAATATAAGAGCAGAAGCACAAACAATAATAATAATGGAGTTAAGGGATAGAGAAAATCAAACTCCAAGACGTAACGAGGTACAGCACTTCAGCCTACGCCCTTGCCTCAAGCTTTCACCTGAAGATTCCCAAATCACTATTTGGCCCTTCATTATGGTGGAGAGTAAAACCTTTACCCCTCTCACATAAAGGATGAGAAAGCCTTTGCCCTCTCACACTAAGGCTAAGAGTAAGCCTCTATTCTCTTAACACTTAGACTGATAGTAAGTCTCTGCCCTCCTACGCAAAGGTGAAGAGTGAATTCTTAAGTGACTGATAGTAAGTCTCTGCCCTCCTACCCGAAGGTGAAGAGTGAATTCTTGAGTCTGTACAAAGAATTATCTCTCAACAAATACATTTGCATAAGTGTAAGCCCACAATCCTAGAGTAAAGATTCAAAACACAGGTTGATAGCTCAATCTAGGATGAATGTGTATGAGAAGCAATGAATGATGATGAATGAATGCTTAAGTGTTGTTTCATATACATAAATGCTGATCCAAGGCCATATTTATAGTCCCATTCAAAATATAGTTGTTACAAGCATTTAATGCAGTAAGGGACGTCTGAACTAGCCATTCGATTTTGATTTACAAAGCAAGCAGTAGACTTACTCTTGAAACAGTCAGTTCTTTAGGTTAGACACCTCTGCTGATTTAATTAGATAGGTCGACTTAGGCGTACATCCTTCGAGTGGTTAAACTAATTAGACAGTCCAAGTCAATTGATCCAAGGGAATCAGTCAACTCATGAAAATCAGTAAGGCCGACTCTCTGTATTGAATAGGATAACTAATAAAGAAATGATAGTCAACTAAGTAAATGTACTTTCAAAAAGAGAGTACCAAGGATAGCATGAGTCGACTCGTGCTCTCTGAGAAGTCAACTGAATTGGCCAAATTTGAGATTTTGACATTCTAAGTACTTGGGCTCAATCCCACTTTTCTATCATACTTAGGACTTTAAAGATTAACTCATTAAAAATTCACCAAGTATTAACTCATTAAAAGTTCAAGTCCTCATGCAAAAAGTCTAGAAACCTTTATCACTGGATTAACCAACTTGGTCCAAAGTTATTGACTTCTTTTTTGTGAACATTGAGTATAAAAGATATTCCAATTTGGAGATCATCTCAATATCACTCAAGGCTTTTCAAGATTGAAACAATAAAGTTCAAAGCCTTGTATTAAAAAGGAAAGAAAAAGTTAGATTCTTTTCCTAGGAGAGAACTTTATGATATTTGAAACCACATTTGAAATTTAAATTTGCAATTATAGCATATAGGAGAATCAGAAGATGCACATCATAGTATTAATTAATCATTTGATTATTCATAAAAAACAGAAATTACACAGGTATAAGAAAGGAGAAAAAATTATTTTTCTCCCATGCAAAAAAAAAACAAGGCATCTTCCAGCGTATTTAATACTTTTATTATATAGCAATAATAAAATAATAGTAACTATAACTACAATAAGAAGATGATGATAAGGGCTGGGTTCAGTTGGACCATAAAGCAGATGAAAAAGCATCTATCACATGGCCATATCGATGAAAATATTCATATAAATAACACTGTAATTGGTGGCAATACATGTTTAATATTCATAACTGAATTTCAGTTCTAAATGAAAGAATCCAAAAGGAGTAGAAGAGTTCACCTGGAGGCTCCTCTAGAGGATGAAATTTGAGGTTCACGTCTCAACATATGCAGGTTGCATGAGGTACTTACCAATTGTCCAGAAATGCATCTAATCTAGTGAGTAAACCTTTACAAATAAGGTTTGCATGTAACGCCTACAATGCCTCGTGTTGCCCAGAAAGTAGAAATCCACGAACATCTAATGCATGAATCTCGTATTTAAATCATCAAGAATAATTACGTTATTTTCTTTTTTCATTGTCTTAACTAATAAGAATCCAGTACTTACAATTATGCAAAAGTTTACAAAACACCTTTTCATTTCTTTTTCTTTTCTTTTTTTAAAAGTATTTATTAGAAGACGCCCAAAAGGGGGACATGAACCAGAACAACTGCACAAAACATTGAGGGGCTGCCCTCCACACATCTCTGACTTGGGGACGCACTTGGCAACCACCCCAAATGTCAATCAAGCTCACCACGGACTCAGGCATGACCAACTGAATCCCAAAAATAGCACAAAGCATATCCCTGCCATCCCTAGCTCTGGGCAGTGAAGAAGGAGATTATCAACTGACTCTTCCGCTGCTTACACATACAACGCCAATTGACAATAATCTAACGTCTCCTTCTCAGATTGTCAATAGTCAAGATCCTCCCCAAAGCCTTTGTCCATCGGTCCGAAGAATGCCACCTTCAAGGGGGCTCGAAAGTGCTAAATGCCTTTCCACAGAAAGGACAACCCCTGAGGATCCATCATACGACAATAGAACGAGCGAACCTCGAATCTCCCATGGCTCGTACCAGCTCAGAGCACCTCATCCGTCCACTCGCCGGACAGAGATTGATTGTAAAGCAGCACCAAGAACTCAACTATCTCCTCCACCTCCCAATCATGCAAAAATCACTCGAACTGAACATCCCAAGATAGTCCCACACCATCAAGATGATAGCAATAGGTGACCTGCCTATCCATCGCAATCTTCTCTAGTCTCGGGAACACTCTCACAAGCAACCTCTCTCCCAACCAAGGGTCATCCCAAAAACTGACTAGGTGCCCATCCCTCACAATGAACCGGATATGCTTGGAGAATTCAACCCAAGCCTTCTGGATGCTTCTCCCAAAAGCCAACTCCAGCCGGTGACCGCAACACCAAAGAGCACCACCCACCTATAGCCTCGCCATATCTATGGCATATGACCTCCTCCGCAGCCTATGCCTCTCCACCCCCAACTGCCATAGCCACTTTCCTAACATATTGTAAAATAATTTGTAAATAATTTCAATTCCCCGTCGAAAAATTATTTGAAGCCTGTAGCAAATTATATTTCAGCCTCCTGAATGAATGCATTTAGACGGACGTATATGAAATCTAACTTCATGAATTTATCCGTCTTCCATTTTTCCCCAAGATGAAGAAAAATGAGGTTTCACCCTGACAGCTGCAGGCTTAAACCTCATGTAATTAAATCTTCCAATGCATCTCAACTCGTCATACCCAATCTAAAAGGCCACGATCCAGTCACAGTCCCATCAAATTGGGTTGTTGGAGGGATAGATTGGGGATAGAGCTAACTCTAACTATATCTACATGAAGTGGAGAGAATATCCTCACTAATAGCCCTCCTCAAATTCAAACTTATACCTTCAGTTTTTAATGTTCCAATACATCTCATCACAACAAGAAGATCACAATCCAGTCAACTTGGGTTATTGGAAGTAGTAGACTGAGTGTGAATACCCTCACTAATAGCCCTCCTCAGATTCAAACTTATAGCTTCAGTTTTAATGTTCCAATACATCTCATCACAACAAGAAGAACACAATACTGTTAATATTGATCCTAACTCTTACTATATCAGTTCAATTTCCAAATTCATCCTACATGCATAAAGAAACATACATTACAAATGTGCCCTCCAACAACACAAACAAAAAACATAATGCAACTTCGGAAACCAACAATCTACTGAAGATACCCTCCAACACAGTCCAACCTGCATAAATTTCCAGAAATTGACAGTCCAACAATCCCGCACCATGCCACACGCTCAATACGTGGAAGATAAATATGGATTCAACAACCGTTTCACTTAAGTCACCGTAGTCCAAGTAATTGCCCGGCAAGGCGCCAAGCATTGTATCAGTTGAAAATGAATGCAATTCTACTACCTTAATGCAACCAGATTTTTTTCACGAAATCTTCAAAAAAGCAAGCACACAACTGAATTACATCAAATTCAAATTTCACATACTTCATGTAACACTATAAATCCAAGAAATCCAATATTTAAAAATCAAAATTAGGAAGCACATTTAGTAATTTCTCCAATTATGCAAAAGAGAACAAAAAAATAAAAAGTAACAATCCATCTTTAATTAGAAAAAAGACTTCTTTCCACTTCAACAACAAACAAAGCCAGATAAACCCACAATCCGGACAAAACCCAGAACCCGAATTCGAAAAATCAGGTATCATTACTTAAATTTCTAAAAGAGACAATAATGCTGTACATGTACTATATGTGTGAGATTACCTCCACGGCGTTCCTTAGCAAAAGGTCGTCTTCGGGAATCCATGGAGAGACAGGAGCAAGAGCTCCCATATCTGCAAGCACTCAAGAAACTCTCTCTCTCTAGAGTCCTTTAGAGCTCGCTTGCTCTCTCTATCACCGCTAAAAAGAGGGGGCTGAGAGTGGGGCACACCGAAAACCTAGTAATATATACTTGGCGGAAAATCAGAAAGCTCTCTGAAACGTGGACAACTACTGAATTCAATTCGGTCGTTTATTCCGTGACCGGTGATTTTATGGAATGGTCCATCAAATCTATGTCAGGTTGAGCCACGTGCGATAATCACACGTTTACATTCACTATTTGACACTCCAATTTTTATTCCTTTCTCCTTTAAATGGAATCAACTAAAAAAAAAAACAAGGGAGAGTGAGAAAATTTTTAAATTTTTTTAGAATTTGGATAAATAGAAAAAGAATCCTAATAGAAAATATAGTTTCTGCATTAAGCTACTTTCTCCCAAAACTTTTCCCACACAAAATACAGGGAAATAATATTTTCTCGTGAAAACTACCTCTTTTTATTTAAAGTTTCTATTTTATCTAACAACTGAATCATGTCAAATAATTAATTTATTTATTTTCTAAATGAGTTTCTTTTATATTAGAGACAAGTTCTTTAACAATTTATATTTTAGTAGACTCTAGAAGGCAACTTCTCTCTAAACATACTCTCTTGCAATACTATTTGGACGAATTTTTTTTTTTTTGGTTCTAAATAAATACATTGTATCAAATATATTATACACCTCTATTATATAAACAAAGAATTATATCTATATATTTTTCTCTTTTTGTGTTCTCTGGTTGAAAGCCCATGAGTCATAAGCCCAAATTTTTTAAAATTTTTTATTTTTATTTTTATTTTTAAGCTTCCTTATTTCTCTTAAATGAATAGATAGTTCTGCTTCTGAATAGATAGTTCTGAACAAAACTTCTGCTGAAGTTTTGAAGTATCGTTTTAATTTAAACAAAATAAATAATTATATTATTAAAATTTAATAATTCATCATTTTATTAAAACTTTGAATAAAATAAACAATCATCAAACACAAATTTATTTATTTTTTTAGTATTTGAAATCATAAGGGTAATTTTGGTATGCGCAATCACTTCTTTTCATTTTCATGCTATCCAAACTAACAAACTAATATTTTCATATAATTTTCCTAAATAAATTTTCATATTAACCAAATGCTTCATAGAAAATAACTTTTCTTTTCATTTACTTCACTTTTCTTTCATTTTCTATTTCTTTTCCTACTTATTTCTATCTAACCAAACGGAGCCTAAAGGATAATTAAGTTTCCAAGTCAATTTGGTTAGTTTGAAAATTTTGTAAGAAAATTATGTAAAATTATCATTTTATAGTTTGAATAGCATGTAACTTACCACAAAAGAAAGGGTAATATTGTAAATTTACAAAACTTTCTCCAAAAATCAAAATTTCCTTGTGTTTTTTAGAAAAGAAAAATTATGAAAAAAATAGGTGGTTGTGGAAAATAATTTTCCTCAAAATTTTCCTTTTTCTGCCAACCAAACTCTTCAAATGTTAAAAAAAAAAAAAAAAAAAAAAAAAAAAAAATCATTTTCTTTCTTTTCTTGTTATTTCTATCTAACCAAACGAAGCCTTAGGTGACTCTGAAATAGACTTGCGGATTTTTTTTTTTTCAATTGTTTGGAATATTTTTGTCTTTGTGTATTCAACCTCTGTCTTCCATTGTCACACATGGAAAACTAATGACACTTGTATCCACTGTCACATATAAGAAAAATATACGCATACACTGATTGGATGAATTGGGTTCAAATTTAGGTGCTTCTTATGTAAAATATTTTCTAAAAATTATTTATTTATTTATTTATTTTTGGGTGTTTGGTTGATTTAATACTTATCTAAAATATTTTACCAAAAACTAACCAAAATAACTTACCTTTGAATTTTTTGTAAGTTTTTTTTACGAAGCACAACCCAATCCACTCCATTAACCTTAACCTCCCACCCACTAGGGCTGCAACTTGGGCGGGCTAACCCAGCCTAACCTAAGCCCAGCCCAAAAATTTTGAAATTGGGGCTTATATTCACAAATCGGGTTCATGTTCGGGTTGGGTTTTGTCAAAACCCAGACACATTCGGGTTGGGCTTGGGCTCAACTGAACCCAACCCGAAACCCAATTTTTTTTTTTTTTTTCTCTCTCTCCTCTTTATCTTTCTCTTTCTCTCTCTGTAGTATGACACAGCTTCGATGCAGAAGAGAACCAAACAATTCTCCATCGTATCTTCGTCGCTCGCCATGGCCATGGGAGTCTCTTCTTCTTCTGTTCTTGATCTGAGAGGGATTCATGGTGATTAAATTGTACTTGATCTGAGAGGGATTCATGCAGAAATTGTGCTCCTCAATCTTCACAAACTGTGGCTGATATGCTTTCTGGGCATCTCCAAGAATCGTTTTCGTCTCCGAGAATTGGAAGCAATTCAACGCCGACGATGGCGACGAAGACAACGAGCAGTTGAATCTGAAATGGGCTTTGATTTTTTGAACAATTTGAAATGATATGCTGAAAGTACAAAGAATTTCCCCCAATTACAGAGAGAGAATTTCTTCACTCCCAATGCTTTCTAACCTCTTTTCCCTCTCGATTTCCCTTATTTATAGACGGTTACAACCTCCTCTGGCCTGGGCCTTATCTGCTCCTTTTTGCCTGGACTTAACTTTTCTCATTTTAATATGGGCTTCTGTAATGACTTTATAGACCTGGGCTCATCCCGCGCGAACTTGCTCCATGCTGTTTGTCCATACCCGACCCGTCCTTTGCAATACGGATCATTCCAAGCCCGGGTCATTTTGGTGTCCTCATTTGCCCCCAATAATCTCTCTCCTCATTAATGAGGGTGAGATTATTGAAAAGACATGATCTTGGTCTGACGGCTCGGAGCAATGACACGAGGAATCGAACGGCTGGCACAAAAACCCAAGCTTCGAGATCTGCAGCGCCACTTTTTTTGGCTTAACCTTTTGAGTTCCATGTCGTCTTTACTTTTCCTCTTTATAAATTCCGGTCTTTCAACCTTCACCCTTCTTCTTATATCTCGCTTCTACTCTCTGCTGCCTTCCTGCACATTCCAGCGATCCTTTTCAATTTCTCCGGCGAGTCTTTCCTTTTCGATTTTTAGCTACTGTACCGTTGCTGCGTTCATCACAAACTTTCAAGGTCAGTTTTTTTTTAAATCTCTCTTTAAAAAGACACCTTAACTGCCTAGGACTCTTCCCCTTCTCTATGGCTCCCCCTAACCTGAACGCCATTCGATCCAAGAATTACATTCCTCGCGACGTTTCTCTCAGAGTCTATCCAATAAACTTAGACGGGAGATCTAGTGAGGGTCTCCTTCCTGGGGAAGTTTTATTCTCCGCCGTTCACTTGAACGTCATTAGGTTCCCCCTACACCCATTCTTTTGTTATGCTTTCAAAAAATTGGGGCTCTGCCCCCTACAAGTTAACCCAAACTTTCTTAGGGTAATTTCAGTCCTCCTGCTCTTGAATCGTGACAGAGGTCTCAATCTTGACATTATTGACCTTTTCCTCTGCTATCGGATTAATAAGATTTCACAAAATGATTTGTACTATCACATCTTCCCTATTGACAAACAGTCGATCTACATTAATAAGAACTCATTTGAAAAATGTTGGAGATGAAATTTAATCGTGGTTGGTGGGAATTGGCAGACTCCGCTCGTCTAATCCTTCTCTATCCCTTCTTCCTTTAGAGCATGTTCTGTATCTGGCTATAAAAAGCTGAAAACACATCCTACTGAATGCCACTGTGAAAGTTGTCTTCCCCGTTTTTGCACTTTTCTTTGTAGATGCCTTCAAATTCCCCATGATGAACTGGTTTACAGCGTCTGTAGGGCTAGGCTAGACACCTTGCAAGAAAGTGTGCTGAACAATGTCCCTTTAGCTACTGATTTACTTACATCTGACAATCTCTCTGACATCTCTCTTTTAGGGTCTACAATGGAGAACATTCAGATCCCATCGTTCAGCAAGAGGAGGCGTCCTGCTCCCACCCCTTCTAACGCTCCTGCTATCACATCATCATCTACACCTGCTTCCACATCGTCTTTCCTTGTTGTCTCTGCCCTAGAGCAAGTTGTGATTGTTCCAACTGTGATTCAAGTCACAAACCGTTCTGCTGATGCGCCTTCTGAGCTCACTCATGCTGAGAACCCTATTGTGGGCCATACTGCTGAGATCCGTCCTACTGCTCCCATCATTATGCCTTCCAACATCTCGTCTGATACTTCCTCAGAGAGCACTCAGGATGCTGGAAATTCTCAAGACAATGGAGGGCCAGCTAATGCTGGTCTGTCAGAAAAAAGTTTAGGAAAAAGGCCAATGCCTGAGGGCGGTCATGATTAGAGTGATATCCCACCAGCCCGGAGGATCAGGACGGCTTCCTTCAGGGTTACTGAACCATTGCCCCCTGCCCGGTTCTTCATTCCTGAAGGCAAATCGGCCAGAACCTCTGGTCCGATTCCATCCATTCTTCTATGGCGACCTTTGCTCAGCCATGAAGATGGATCAACCATTGGCCCCACTGACTCAACATACAAGGACCCCATCACCTCCTTTGCTTTCTACAAGGGTTTCTGGACCCCCAAGGACCTTAAGATTCAGAACAAGCTATCCTTTGGTGAGATGTTCTAGCGGTTCCCAGCTGCTGCTATAGAGGTGACTCTTCTTTTTATTGAAATGCGTTTCTTTTCTGCTATGACTCTTTAGTAGCTAGTCTGACCTGAATTTCTTTTTCTTTATGCAGACTTTATTCGAGATGTTCATTTTTCAAAAGACCATTGAAACTCTAAACAAAAAGCTTAAATCCCTCTCTGTGGGCCTTAAAAGGTCTGTTGAAGCAGAGAATCTCCTTGAGGCCAAAGTTGCTGAGCTGGAGTCTAAGCTGAGCGAGTCAGAGAAGGGGGTTGCTGACTTAAAGGCTGAGAGAGACGGTCTGGCAAATGAGAGGGATTCCCTCATAGCTGAACGGGATACCCTGAAGACCGAACGGGATTCTCTTCAGGATGAGGTTGATGTCTTGAAAACTGAGAAGAGTGTTGCTCTGACAGAAAAGGACTCTCTCAAAGCTGAAAAGGGAGACCTTCAGCACTCATTCATTGCTGAACGGTTGTCT